AAGAGTGGTCATGAAAGGTGACACCTTCATGTGTCACCTGCTCACAGACTTGACGAAACTCTTACTACCTTTAATAGTGGCTTTATGCCCACTAGTCTGGCCTCAGAGCTCAGGATGTAGGCTCAACACCATTTAATATGAAGTCTAATTGTGACCCATGATGGATATATTCTGCTGTTGGCGTAAATAGGCTCGATGTGGAAGGAGAAAGAGCCTCTTCCTCCTTCTCCTTTCTCTTAGTTGTCCAGTAGTAGAGCCTTGTTTCCTGACATGAGCTTAATAGGGCATGGTTTGTTATAGCAGTTAAACTGTTCTAAAAAAACCCTACAAAGTCCTGGTGGTTTAAAACAATAGAAATTTATTTTGCCTGTGCCAGAATCTAATGTGTAGGGTAGGCTGGAGAGTGGGCCACTATTCTTCAAAGTCATTGAAAACCCAGGTTCCTTCCATGTTGTGATGCCATGACATTCCAAGTGGCGCCAAGTTTGCTAGAGATAAGGAAGGGGTTCCGGTGAGAACCCATATGGGTGAGGCTTGGAACGGTACACTTCACACTCACCCACAGTCCGTTGGCCAGAATTCGGTCAGATGGTCTCAAACTCACTTCAAAAGTGGTGGGAAAGGAAACTTGCCATGGGTTTCTCAAATTATTATTGATTTTCTGAACATGCAGCTAATATATCAGCTTCTGTCACTTTACAAGTATGTTTTTAGTTCAGGGTTTTTGTTTTTACAAAGGATTATTGAAGTAATTCAATAGCACATGACAACTGGTTTTGTTAGCCGATCCTTGGTCATCCTCTCAAACTCTGAGAGAAAGATAACCATGCTAGTCTAGGAGAGTTGTGTCCGTAGACCATTAAAGCTGTCTTTGTTGGATCCCAGAATTTGTGCCAACATGAATGGCTCTTTCCTGTCTTATTCAGATAATGTTCACGACTGAAAGTAATTTAAATACATAGCTAACTAAAAGACCACTTCTTCCTTTGTTCTTAGTTGTCCTAGGAAATAAAGGTGTTTTCCCTAGACCATCCTTTTGGAGTCTCAGGTAATGCTAAGGAAGCCCAACAGGAACCTTGAAAAGATTCTTGTGTCTGATTTGTCAGGGAAGTCGGCCTGGACATATGATTTAGTCTCTTATGGGGGATGCGTACTCACTAACCTAATACCTGACCTTCTCTGTTTTAAAAAATGAAAACCCTTTTAACTAATTTTGTTAGTTGCCTAGAATTTTCCTTGAATCATATTTTTTTTTGTCCTGTTTCCCAAAATGTGGTAAACACAGCAGGTAACTTTTCTTAATTTAAGTGTGTAATTTCCCCCCCTGAATGTTATTCTACAATTAGGAGGAAACAGCAGTGCGCTATCGACTCCCTGCAGTCTAGCCTGGATTCTGAAGCTAGGAGCAGAATTGAGGCTACCCGGCTGAAGAAGAAGATGGAAGGGGACCTCAATGAGATGGAGCTCCAGCTTAGTTATGCCAATCGGCAGGTCTCAGAGTCAACCAAGTCCCTGGGCCAGCTTCAGAATCAAATCAAGGTATTTTCGAACTCTCCTATGGGGTGGAAGGAAGTGGGAAAAACTTCTGCTTATGAAAGAAAACAAAACAAAAGTTTGGCAATAACGATGAGGATGACACAGTTAATCCTCCATGAAAGCAGAAACCTGTTTACATTCAAATAGGTGAAATTGCAGAGTAAGTATGGCAGGTGCACCTCCCATATTGAACTCAGAGAGCTCTGCTCCAGGCCCAAGTTTTCTCTTGTAGGACCTTCAAGTACAGCTAGATGACAGCACACGCCTGAACAGGGATCTGCAGGAGCAGGTGGCTGCGGCTGAGCGGTACAGCGCTCTTCTTCAGTCTGAACTAGAGGAACTGAGGTCCTTGCAAGAGCAGACAGAGCGTGGGCGCAAGCTGGCAGAAGAGGAGCTCCTGGAAGCCACAGAGAGAATCAATCTATTTCATACCCAGGTGGGGCCCATATTGTCTCCCCATTGGCTGGGTTGTGTAGTTGGAGACAGTTCCCACACTGGGGTTAGCCTTAGAACGTGCATGATCGCATTGTCAAGCCTTGGGTGTGGAAGTGAAACACAGGAGCTCCTCTGTGGCAGAGCAGTGACCACATGCTTCATTCACTCCCAAACGTGTGATATCCCTAGGGCTGCCTCAACAGGACTCCACGAACTGGGTGGTTTCAAGCAACAGAAGTTTACTCTCTCACAGTTCTGGAGGCCGGAAGTCTGAAATCATGTTGGCAGGACCACACATCGTCTGAAACCTGGAAGAGAATTCTGTCTTGCCTCTTCCTAGCACCTGATGGTTTGCTGGCAGTTGTTGGCATTCCCCAGCTGCTTGAGGCCTCACTCCAATTCTCTTCCTTCACATGGCATTCTGTGTGTCTTCATGTAATCTTCCCTCTAATCATCTTTGTCCAAATTTCCACTCTGGTTTTTGTTTGTTTGTTTGTTTGTTAGTTTTTTGCCATAGGACATGTGTACTTACTAGAGAGAGACACAGAGGAAAGAGAGAGGGAAAGTGAGAAATCACCTGCAGGGGGGTTGACCACATCATAATTCCCTCACCCCCTTTCTCCTCTTGGGACTTAGAGCATGCACGCACATGTGCATGGCATGTTTTTCAAGCTACTGGGTCAGGAACTCGAACTGTGCAGTCAGCCATGTGAGATCTAGCTGCCTTACTCTCCAGGGTACCTTGCTGGCACCAAGTCTACTTTTATAAGGAAACAGTCATATTGGACTAGGGCTCATCATAACAACCCTGATTTTAACTTGATAACCTTCTTCAAAGCCGTATTTCCAGAGAAGGTCACATTCTGAGAAACTGGGAGTTAGGGCTTCAATATATATTTTTGGAAGACATGGAACTAAATCATAGCTCAAGCCTTTTACAAGAAGAATGGAAAATCAAGACACCCCAGCTAGGATTTTGGAGAGAGGGGTGAGCATTACCTGGTGTTCTAGAAATACTTGCTTATTTCTCTTCCTCTCTCAGCTATGTGCTCCCTCAGCATCCTAGTATGAAAAATAATGCTCCTGCCTTGCAGCCAGGAGCTCTCTAACAATTCTTAGTGCCTGCTGACAAACAACACGAATTGTCAGAACTCTCAGCTCTCATGGAAGGCTATCCACATGACACAAAGCAAGAGTTCTTAGGCCTTGCACCAGTCTCCTAGAAACCATAGTGGCTAGGCAAGAGGGGAGTTGGGATTTTAAGGGAAAGTCAACCACCAGAGCATAGGCATGTAGAAGAGATGAGCAGAAATGATGCTAAGGGATAGGGAGGGACAGGTCACCAGGGATCTTGAGTCTGAGACTGATGGAGTTCGAATTGGGATCTACTGGAGAATTTTGAGTAGCTGAAGTGGAGGTATTAGATTTGTAATAATTTTACTTTGGTGTTTGTTGTGATTAAAGCAATTAGGAGCAGAGTCGCCATGCTCTGTGTTATTTTTGAACACCCATGGGGTCACTTTGGTTGCCACAGTGACTAAGAAGTGGCACTGGCATTTAGTGGGCAAGGTCTAGAGATACCAAAACTCCTTGGGAGGTGCAGAATGCTCCTACATCACAAAGCATTCCCTTCCCAGAATGCTAGTTGTGCCCACACTGAGAAATAGTGGGTGACAGAATGAATAGACCAGAAAGGCACCTGCTGAAAGGCATTGCAATTAGTTTGCACCTTCAGTATGACTTCTGAGTCCATCTGCATGGCACAATCCCACTGGGTACCACTTGGTATAAAACAAATAATCTTCAGGTTATGCATAATTCCCAGTAGGCTAACTCACTTTCTTTTTTTTTTCCTCCCTCAAGATAGCTCTTTTTCTTTTCTCAAAATAGCTTATCTAATCACAATGAGTTGAATTTTTATACAGTGAAATATTGATCTTAAAAAAATCATCCACTGTCTGCAATACTTAATAACTATTGGTAACAAATCATTTACCATGTATGTTATAACTGATAATGCACCACTGGATCACAGTCTGATGAAAAAACACTGTCCTGGAGAGAGATAGGACATATACTAGAGAAAAAGCAGGCACAGAAAAGAGAAGAGGATTGGGGACTTGGGGGAAGAAAAGTAGGCAGTGGAGAACCTGTTTTCTAGGGCAGAATTCTTAAGTAGATGACACAAAAATTCAATTTCTCCAATCTCCCCCTAGACCTATGAATCAGAAACTCTGCAGTGGGGCCCAGGGATCAAAACAGTTCTCTGGTTCTGCTACTCGTCCAGAGACTACCCTTTGATCAGTGCTTGTCTAGGTGACATAATATTGCTCACAAGGACATCTCCCCTGTTTCAACTATGCTGAGAAACCTTGCAAAAATGACGAATCAAGACATAAAGGAGCCTTTGGGGCTGGACACTGGCATAGGAATAAAGCATGACATGCTGTGAGGCTGGTCCACGTCGAAAAGCTCCAGGGTCAGGGCCAAGGACCTTCCTCAGCACACCAGGCACATGGCCCATGACCTAGCACTAACCGAGGCTTGGGGCAGACTGTGGCATTAGGGCCCTGTTAGGGGTGCAAGTTCTCTCTCACAGAATAAGGAAACCTCAAAAAGAAAATATGTTGGGTTGTCAGGGGAATCATAACACCTTTTTGCATAGAAAAAATAAAAATATATCATGATTTTCTTGGTGAAAATCTTGTCATGATTTTCTAGACACACGCGCGCACACACACACACACACACGATGAACCTTTTATGAAGCCTGCTGAGCACCTCCTGCTTTTGCAGACCTCTCGCCTAGAACTCACATATGAGGCTAATCATCTTTGGCTGATTATATGTGCCCTTTTAAATATCAGACTTGTGGCTAGGTAATCTAGATTGTCCTTCTGCAAAATAATCCCATAATCTGCTTCCTCCCAAAACAGAACCAATGAGAGAGTCATTTGACTTGCAAAGGTGTACCCATATCTTTCTAGCAGTGAAAAGGTTTCCCATACAGACACATCAGCAAGTATACTTGTACCTTCCTTTCTGGAGAAAGAATTGCTGTGGCGTTGTGTCCTGTGAGCATCCCCCATCCAGGTCATGCATATGGCAATGAAAAACCTGGAGGGCGGGGCACAAGGTTCTCCATAAGGACAGACAGTGCGGCCTGGATGAAGATGCTTCATGCCATAAAGAATGCTGGGTAGAACCTGTGAGGTCTAAAGGCCTTTCTATTTCCAAGGCCTAACCCTGCCATAGAGACAGTCACTAGCTAGAGGAAAATGTGGTCCTGTGAAAGGGATAAAGCGAAAGGAGAAATTAAAAAAATAAAAAACCCATGCTTTTTATATATATGCTCTGTGCTATGGCTTCATCCTCTCAGAAAAGCTGTGCTTCAAACACAGACCAGATAGCAGCAAAAGAAGCTGTGACCTCCGGTGTCACCATTCGAGAAGGAAAGAACTAGGGCAGCACCAGCCACAGAACACAGAATCCTCTGTGGTAATGGGGTTCCTAAGGGATAGGGGAGGAGGTCATTCTGAACTACTTTTCTCACCTCCTCCTCACTGCAAAGTAAGATAGAAAGGGAGGTAGGTAAAAAGGAAGAATTATTATTTTTTCTTCTAGGAGCAGCATGCTGGGAACTGTGATTTTTATTCTCCAGTCCCCTGCTCACCAGATGTCTGTAGGTGACTCTGACTTCTGCTCTGGGACACTTTTTTTTCTGCCACATCAAAGAGCAAAAGGCAGAAAACCATTTCTCAAGTTGAAAACCAAACACATGTTTGGGGCTTGTAGATTACCTGGGAACCATTTCTCCTTTCTGATTTAGGCTGCCACCGCTTTAGTCCTGAGTCCTGAACTTCTAAGAGATGAAACCCCTTCCGTTCAAGTATGTCTTTGATGCCAAAGCCTCCTAGAGTTGGGAGTATTGCTTAACCGAATACGGCTGACTGCAGTAACATCAGCATGTCCTGAACAGAGCAGTGTGCCTTAGTATTGCTGGTTTCAACTTGCCTAACGGGAATGTGACTTCTCCTTAGAACACAAGCCTCCTCAACCAGAAGAAGAAACTAGAGGCTGACATTGCCCAGATGCAGAAAGAAGCTGAAGACGCAGAGCAAGGGTATAAAAATGCAGAAGACAAGGCTAAGAAGGCAGCCACTGAGGTGGGTTTCTTGACTGCTCAGTTCTGCCTTCCAGAGTTTTCAGGAGCAGTGGCTAAAGGCCAGGGACAGCCTGCAGCCAGAAAGCATTCCACTGATTCCCCATACATTGGATTAGAGTAACTCATCCCTCTGCCTCCTGTTTTCCTCTTGAAAAACAGGCCAATCAGCTCCTCCCCTCCAGCCCACCCTGGCGATGAAAAGCAGTTAAATTGTTTTCAACAAAACCATATGAATGGAACCAGCAGTTAGCATAATGGCTATGTCGCTAGACTCCCATGTGGTCGACCACAGTTTGCTTCTGGACCCAGTGGCTCGAGACTCATGAGACTCATGCCGGGCACGTGTGCATGCCTGCCCAAGATCCCGAGAGGAGAATGGAGGAGAGGGGATTGCGGTGTGACCATCCCCCCTGGGGGGTGATTTCTCGCTTTCTGTCTCTATGTCTCTCTCTGTCTGGCAAGTGCACATGCCCTATAGTGAAAAAAAAAACATATGAAAACAAGTCCTCTCTCTCTCTCTCTCTCTCTCTCTATATATATATATATATATACACACATACACATATTAATCCATTTTCTCTCTCAATTAATCCACTTTCTACTTTTGATTTGATACATCTAGTGTCTAGAAAGAATTTCTATTATTTTATTTATTTATTTATTTATTTTGGAGAGGTTTTCGCTATAGGGCACGTGCGCTCGCCAGACAGACAGAGAGAGACAGAGAGACAGAAAGCGAGA